CTAATTGATTTAACTTCAGCTACTGACACAGGGGGCCAAAGAGGGAGGTTTTCAAAATATGTGGGCTCAGTTAATCTCTTTTATGGGTGGCTTTGATTTGAGTCTATAAACATGCTTGTATAAAAATCCTCCCAAGCTAAGGCAGGTATAGGAATATCAAGTTGGAATTTGCGTTCCTTCAATAGACCCGAAACAGAATTCCAGAAAAAAATAGAATTAGTTCCTTTTGCTGAAAGTTCCAAATCTGCCCATAATTTATCAGTATAAAGGGCTTTTTTAGACATAATAAGTTTCTTATATTCACGCCTAGTTTGTAACATTCTAGAATGATTTTTTAAGCTAGGATATTTCTGGGCCAGTCGCACTGCTGTCCTCAAATGTTTTCTAGAATGTAAACAGTCGAAATCAAACCAGTTTATACTGGATTGATAATGATTTCTAATAGGAGCTTTATCAATTAGGAATTTCCTCAACGAGGTAGTCATATAGGCATATTGTATCAGGATCTTTTCTGGGCATTGGGTAGGGGTAGAGATAGAGTTTCTCCAGGACTGGGCCTGTTCTGAGTTTAGAAAGGTAGATAAAGCCTTAGTATCTACCTTGGCCCACCTAAGCGTTTTGTTCTGCCTAATTTCAATATTTGCTAATAGCCTCTTATCACGTGGCATAGATGGTCTAGTGTCCGATCTGGCTAGAAAACAAACTGTTATCGGCTGATGATCACTGTCCTCTCTTGCATGGGCTTGGATGTCTGAAAAGAGCCCGGACTTGTTTCGTGAGACACAGATGTAATCTAGGACACAGCTGGCATTTCCTGAATAATATGTAAAAGGGTATATGAAGCCAGAATCTTTACCCCCTAGGATATGAAGGTTGCATTTATAGATTAAAGAGACCAAACGTGAACCCACCATATTCCTTTTGGAATCTCTGGAGCACCAGGGTAAGTTATTAGTGAGGTAATCCTCAGGAATAACTCCCATCTGGGCAAAATCAAGTAAAGAAGCCCCAACTCTGGCATTAAAATCTCCCACTAAAATTACAATAGCGTTGGGGTAATTAGAATTTATCTTCAGCACTAAATTTTCTAAATTCACCCATACATTAGGGGAAAAGCAAGGAGACGTATAAGATGGCAGATAGATGTTCACTAAAACTACTACTGCGGCTTCGTATAAAAATTTAACCGCTAGGTAGAAAGGAGAATCAAGTCCAAGAGCCAGTTCCACACTTTTCCATCCCAGCTCAGCCTTGACAAGAATAGATAACCCTCCTGAAGCCCTCCCTTTAGTCTTGTATTTCACTGCAGGGACTGACCAGGAATTAAATCCTGGTA